ATGAATTGATACTCATCTTCTTTGAGTGTGAGGATCTTAAGGCAAGGTTTATCTTTTCCGTTTCCTTGTCTGTATAATTTTCCATCATCTTTGTTTTCATGCACTCTTCAGCAGTTTCAATTACTGTCTTAGTTACTGCTTCACATGTATCAATTCTGCGTCGCATGGCATTGTCTGGATAGGTAATGCGTCTCAATTCTTCATAAGCAGTGCTTACATTTTTTGAAGCCTCTGTTACTTTGTTGACATGTTCATGCATTTGATCTTCTGAGCATCCTTCATGCAAGGCTTTCTTGGCATCTTTAGCGACAAACTTCCACTTCTCATAGCACACGCTGAATCGATGTGTTGCTTTACTTATCAGCTCATCACGCAGCTCTTGGCCCTTTTCCGTCAACTTGCGGGTTCTTTGGCTCCTTTGTAGCTCTTGTTGAGTAGTGGAATTGTCTCTTTCGGCACCTTCAGTTGCGAATGGTTGCTCTACATCACGATCACTGACTTCTGACTGAGACTCAAGCGTTGCCATTGTTAAATTTGGTCGATGTTTTGTTTACTTTAACTTGAGGACTTAAAATAAGCCTAATATTCAAAGCAGTTAAATCGTAACTATTTGCATTAGTCAAATTAACCTTGCTGAAAAGCACAGTAAACTGTCACAAAAATATTTAAATGCAAGATCTCAGTTTGAATCAGTATAACATACATGCAATTGTTACCACCTTAACTTAAATGTTTTCTTAACTTTAAGCAATTAAACCTTTGCAAAAATGGCTATCACAACTACAAAATAAGTAGAACAATTCAACCTAACAGTACAACAACAAATAAGCACTCAATACAATTATAGTTCTTAAGCAAAAATAATTGTATATCAAGGTTTCAACTTCTTATAGTTTCCTAATTGGCTTATCTTGTCGACATCGTGAACGTGGATTTTCCGTGCTTTGTGTTTCGTCACACAAAATGGAGTCACGATGGTCGTCCTTCTCTCGCGCGCTGGCATCGTCCTTGTCGTCTCACCATGCGTCGGAGCGGGAGAGTTCTCACTGTAGCGCCCTCAGGATGCGGCATGAATGACGACACGAAGTCCACGACAAAAATACAGGGTTTATTCCTGGCAACCCGTGAGAACTGGTCCCACGAACATGAAACATACAAACAAGTGGCATTACGTACCAAATAAAGACAAAACTACGAAGACAATTGATTTAACATAAATACACACAAACCTCGTGGGCTCACACCCATAAGGGGCTAAACTTCGGCCGAAATCCTGCCCGTCGTCGACTTGCCTCATACGGTAGGTTCTCGGCACTCTCGTCTTCTTACAAAATGGCTACATTGAACTTACAAAAACGTGTCTTTTAACGTGCTCCAACAACGTGTAACGGCAACTAGGGTCGGGTGGACCTTTATCCGCGATAAATGGTTCCGGCCAACAATCGCCACTAGATGGCATCAGAACACCAAGAACGAAACTGCTTAATGGAACATATTGGCAGTAACAAATACCATCATGTTTCTTATCACGTTCGCATCCCTGCCAACTCATACGGTTTAGCCATATTTCATACGGATTTTGTGGTGAATCTTACGTATATGGCCATATCGCACAAATCATACGGATTCTGATAATTTCTGTTTTTTTTTTTTTTCGAACAGGTAGTTCCGTTTGCTTTTGCCCAGATTGGTGCTAGTCTACTCGAATGCTTTCATTTCCGGTAACTTTCCAGTAAATTAGGTGGTTCCTAGTTGAAAACAGCAGAGTAATCATTGCATACTTGGTAGTGTACAAGCAAGTTCTACAAGCAAGCAAATATATCATTCATATTTCGTGGGTTTTTTTCGTGTTATTTTGACATATAAAATGCTTTGGTATGTTAAGGATTTTTTGCTCTTCATAAGGATTTTTTTGGTAGTTTATACAGGTTGGCGCTCCGAAAAGTTGACAGGTATGCGTTCGACAAATTAGCAGTAACACAAAATGGCCACCCCGTGAAGACAATTTTGTGACATTTGATGGATTTTTAAAAATTTCTGATCACAAACAATGTTACAACTAATTCGCAACGGTCGTTCTTCACCGCTGTTTCCACCTTGTGTATGGCTCTTCTTGGCTCTCAAACGCGAGAACCCTCTTTGGCCGTGCACAGCAAGCGCCGATAGCTTCCCTCCGCTTGCCAGAGTTAGTCACTGCCACCTTCTGAAAGAGTACCATAACATTTCTTATCGAGAAGAGCCCCATTGGGACGTGCACGGTAGAAGTCCGTCTATTTCCTCTTCTGGTCATAGTTTGTCATTGCAACCTTCTTAAAATACCATAATATTTCTTAACATCGAAAAATTAGCAATACGACAATGTGGCCACTCAGTGAAGATAATTCTGTGGCATTTCGTGGATTTAAAAAAAAAATTCAGAACAGAAAAACTGTGACAATTAATTCACAACGGTCGTTCCTCACAACTCTTTCCACATTGTGTAGGGCTCCTCTTTGCTCTGAAATGCGAGAGCCCTCTTTGGCCGTGCACAGCAAGCGCCGATAGCTTCCCTCTGTTCGTCAGAGTTCGTCACTGTCACCTTCTGAAAGAATACCATTTTATTTCTTCATACCTGACAAGAGAGCCCCACTTGGACGTGCAAGGCAAAAGTCGATGACTGCGTTCTGCTGGTCATAGTTTGTCATTGCACCCTGATGAAAGAATACAATCTTGGTGCATTGCTTACCCTGAAAAGTCAATCACTGCCGTATGTTGGTCACAATTTGTCATTGCAACCGTTTTCAAGATGATCGTATTAGTTCTTATTTCCCTTGAAAAATCAGCAGTCACACATGAAGGCAGCGCTGTGAAGATCATTTTGTGACATTTTATGGATTTTTTAAAATTTCTGAACGAAAACATAATGATAGTTCATTCACAACGGTGGTTCTTCCCCGCTGTTTCCACCTTGTGTATTGACCTTCTTCGCTCTCAGTTGCTGGAGCCCCACCGGGACGTGCACGGCAGAAGTCCCTTACTGCCCTCTGCTGGTAATATTTTGTCATTGCAACATTCTTGTAGAATACCACACGATTTCTGATGACAATCGAAAAATCAGCAGGAACACAAAATGGACAAAAAAACGCTACAATACACGATAGAAGTTCGTCTATTCCTTATTCTGGTCATAATTTATCAATGCAACCTGATGACGCAATACCATCTTGCTGTATTTCTTACCCTGAAAAGTCGACCACTGCTGTCTGTTGGTCACAGTTTGTCATTGCAACCCTTTTCAAGATGATCATATGAGTTATTATTTCCCTCGTCAAATCAGCAGTTACACATGAAGGCAGCGCTGTGAACATCATTTTGCGACATTTTTTGGATTTTTAAAAATTTCTGAACGAAAACAATGATAATTAATTCACAACGGTGGTCCTTCCACGCTGTTTCCACCTTGTGTATTGACCTTCTTCGCACTCAGTTGCGAGAGCCCCATTGGGACGTGCACAGCAAGCGCCGATAGCTTCCCTCTGCTCGCCAGAGTTAGTCACTGTCACCTTCTCAGAGTTAGTCACTGTTACCTTCTGACAGAATACCATTTTATTTCTGAAAACCTGACAAGAGACCCCCACTTGGACGTGTAAGGCAAAAGTCGATGACTGCCTTCTGCTGGTCATAATTTGTCATGGCACCCTGATGAAAGAATACAATCTTGCTGCATTGCTTACCCAGAAAAGTCGATCACTGCCGTCTGTTCGTCACAGTTTGTCATTGCAACCGTTTTCAAGACGATCATATGAGTGCTTATTTCCCTTGAAAAATCAGCAGTTGCACATGAAGGCAGCGCTGTGAAGACCATTTTATGACATTTTATGGATTTTTTAAAATTTCTGAACAAAAACATAATGACAATTAATTTACAACGGTGGTTCTACCCCGCGATTTCAACCCTGTATATGGCTCTTCTTCGCTCTAAATTGTGAGATCTCACCCGCACGACTGTCGAGAACCAAACCTATCCGATGCGCTTGCCATTGCCGAAACTACGCCATTAATGCAGGGCCGGGAAACCCGCGCGCTGCAAACAAGCATAAAAACAGCGACCACGCGACCTTATGAAACTGGCCGTTTGCAGCAGGCTTACATAGGCTGCTTGGACTAGTGGAAAAACAAAAACTCCGTTCTTCATTGGCGAGTCTTCTTTACATTTGCTGATGTCTCTGGAAAAAGACAGACTGAATAGATGGAAACAAGCAAGTGCTGAAAGACATCACTGCGCACATGGGAGATGTGAGAGAGAGAGAAATTAACGGTTGCCACTTGCTTCGACCCGCCTTCGCTGCAATTAGCGAAAAAAGGCCTGGAGTGCCGGGATTTGCAAGTAAAGCCGTAAAAATACATTGCCAGGTCGGCTCGCGCTGTCAAAAGTCTCCGCAGCAACGCGCAACTGTCGGGAATTGAACCGATCGGGTCCCCTTGGCGTTTGACGTTGTTTGTAGGGCCAAGAGTGGCGCGGATGACAAGCAAGACCTGAAAACAATCACCACACATACGCTTGATGTCCGGAAATTAACGGTTGCCGCCCACTTGGACCCGCTGTCGCTGCGCAAAGCGAGAAAGGCCGGGAGTGTCGCGATTTGCAAGCAAGGCCTGAAAAACCTCGCCGTGTCGGGTTGTCTGTCAAGCATTGCCTCGGCAAAACGCAACTGTCTGGAAGTGAACCGTTGGAGACACTGCGCCTTTTTTGGAGGGCCGAGAGTGGCACGGATTTTAGGCAAGCCCTGAAAAAAAATCACCGCGAACACGGCGCGATGTTTCTAAATTAACGGTTGCCGCCCGCTTGGTCCAGCTGTCGCTGCGGGAAGCAAAAAAATGCCTGGAGTGCAGGGATTTGCAAGCAAGGCCTATAAAACCTGTTTGTCTTGCTCCCTTTGTCTGTCGAACGTTGCCTCATCAACGCGCAACTGTCTGGAAGTGATCCGATCCGTTTTGCATTTTTTTCAGGGCCGAGAGTGGCGCTGATAAAAAGCAAAAGCTAAAAAAAATGTGCGCGATGTCCGGAAATTAATGGTTGCCGGCCGCTTCGTCCCGCTGTCACGGCACGAAGCAAAAGAAATGCCCACAGTCCCGGGATTTGCAAGCAAGGCCTTAAAAACCTCGCCGTGTCGCTCCCGTTGTCTGTCAAACGTTGCCTCCGCATCACGCGACTGTCTGGAAGTGATCCGATCCGTTTTGCATTTTTTTCAGGGCCGAGAGTGGCACGGATAAAAAGCAAAAGCTGAAAAAACCCCAGCGCACATGCGCGATGTCCAGAAATTAATGGTTGCAGCCCGCTGCGTCCCGCTGTCGCTGCATGAAGCAAAAAAAGGTCACGGAGTGCCGGGATTTGCAAGCAAGGCCTGAAAAACCTCGCCGTGTCGCTCCCGTTGTCTGTCAAACGTTGCCTCCGCATCACGCGACTGTCTGGAAGTGATCCGATCCGTTTTGCATTTTTTTCAAATCACCGCGCACATGCGCGATGTCCGGAAATTAATGGTTGCCGCCCGCTTCGTCCCGCTGTCGCTGCGCGAAGCAAAAGAAATGTCCGGAGTGCCAGGATTTGCAAGCAAGGCTTTGCTCGTGCCGCTGTCTCAGCGCGAATCAAAAAAATGCCCGGGGTGAGGGGATTCGCAAACAAGGCCTCAAAAACCTCACCGTGTCGCTCCCGTTGTGTGTTCAACGTTGCCTCGGCAACGCGCAATTGTCTGAAAGTGATCCGATCCAGTCCCCTTGCCGTTATGCATTTTTTTGAGTGCCGAGAGTGGCGCGGATAAAAAGCAAAAGCTGCAAAAAATCACCGCGCACATTCTTGATGTCCGAAATTAAAGGTTGCCGCCCGCTTCGTCCAGCTGTCGCTGCGCGAAGCAAAAAAAGGCCCGGATTGCCGGGTTTTGCAACAAGGCCTTCAAAACCTCTCCGTCTCGCTCCCTTTGTCTTTGGAACGTTGCCTCGGCAATGCCCGACTGTCTGGAAGTTATCCCATCCGCTCCCCTTGCCGTTTTGCATTTTTTTCAGGCCGAGAGTGGTGCGGATAAAAAGCAAAAGCTGAGAAAAAAATCACCGGGCATATGCCGGATGTCCGGAGATTAATTGTTGCCGCCCGCTTCGTCCCGCTGTCGCTGCGCGAAGCAAAAAAAAAATGCCCGGAGTGCTGAGTTTTGCAAGCAAGGCCTTCAAAGCCTCTCCGTCTCGCTCCCTTTGTCTGTCAAACGTTGCCACGGCAACGCGCGACTCTCTGGAAGTGATCCGATCCATCTCCCTCGCTGTTTTGCATTTTTTACAGGCCGGGAGAGGTGCAGATTAAAAGGAAGAGCTGAAAAAAATCACCGCGCACATGCGTGACGTCCGGAGATTAATGGTTGCCGCCCGCTTC